ATATTTGACAACAACCTCAGTTTCAATCGGCACATTCGCGAGGTTACACGAGGTTATATTGCTGATAGCAGACTTATGAGAATGGTATATCTAGCACTGGCGCAAACTATCATATCATCTTGCATTGCATCCTGGGGTGGAGCCACTAAGTCTGCGATGATAGAATTGAAAAGAGCACAGAGAGTGTTGCTGAATTTATGCTTGTTTAAGCCGCGAAGATTTCCAACGGCGCAACTTTATCATGATGCAGATGTTCTCTCTGTTCGCCAAATTTATATTCTGCACACTGCACTTCGGCAACACTCCAATATAAACTCCGTATTGATAATTATATTAGAGTATCCACAGCTAGAAGATCCTGTGCAGTATGTAAGACAAATAAGGTTAGTACTTCCTTTGCTTCGAGGTTTTATCATTTTAGGACTGGGAGATTGTACAATTTTATAAATAGAAAATTAAATGTAGTAAATGCATGTAAAAACGCAAACAAAAATAAAATAAGTAAGTCGCTTAAGGTACAGAATTACGACGAAACCGAAAGAGCAGTTGAAATATTAACATAGTTATAAAATATGTACTACCTAATAACTTGTCTCGCGCCCGGGCACGGGCCCGCCCGAAAAACCCGCAGATTTCAGCCTAGTTGAAATTTCAGCTTCCTCACAAACTATAATCAGCTAATACAACTAGTACTTATTCATATATGTAACAAGAATTTTGTAGTTTGTGATGGTACAAATAAACTATTTTTCATTTTTTCATTGTAATGCTGACATTACTGCTTGGCGGCAGAAATAGACAAGGTGGCAATACCTCCCCGGAAGAACTCTTTCACGAGCTTTACTGCTACTAAAGCTACTGCTATTGCGACTGATGGGAGCGTAGCATGTGTGCGAGGTACGCGAGCTCGCACTCATTCCTCGCTCACATCGCACCCCACCCGCGCGCACTGATGAAAAAAGTCGGCTACTCATATTCTCACCGCTCAGCTATACACCGTTTCGCTTCTTCGCCACGCATTCTCGCACATCTCTGGTGGAACCGCAGCCTTAAAGTACCTGAAAGTGTTTTTGCAGGTCTTTGACCACTTTTTAATTTTTCGACATTCTGGCCATTTTATACTTTGTATTTACTTTTTGAAGCATTGTACAGCGGTGTAATTACTTTAAACAAAAATCCATTTTTGTTTAAAGTAAACTTTTCTCTTTTTAAATGTCATATTGCCTAAGGTCAGTTAAAAATAATATTTTGGCGTGTATTTCAATAAAGAACGGGACGGCACGTACGTTTGACTGTCCGATGATAAAAGGGAGAGGGCGGAACGAGCTGATGGACGTCAAAGGACTCACCGAAGTATAATATGTAAAAAACCGACAGACAGGCAACTTTGCGCCAGTAGGCTAAACAATGAAGCTCTAACTCGAGCTTATCGTCGCCAATAAGCCTCCTAATTCTACTCGTACAAGCATTACGATTCAATACAAAACTGAATCAATATTTCGTACATGTATTCAAAAAATATTCGTTATACTTACAACAGCTCGTTCGTGACTTGTGTTCTTGATGTTTACACAGTCTTTATTAACATACGGACATTATATTATCTGAAAATCCCTGTAAAAGCCAGAAATACTCGCAATTATTGGCAATTATATCGTTCCGTCTGCAACGAAGCAAAGAATGGTATTCGCTGAATTTTACAAACACCCCTTAATTGAACAGTGTATAGAATGTTACAGAGATTACAAATCTGTAGACGCGACGCGCTGTAACATAAAATACCTAAGTCGATATTTTGTGTGAGCATTTATTGACTTCTATTTTTAAGTCCGGTATCTTGCTTACTGAGGACATATTTCAGAGGTTTCGGAATGAAGACTACAGTTTGGTACAATGACAACTTGTAATTTGAAAGTAACGTATAGTACAAACTTGGGTTTAAGGATATATGGAATGTTACAAGTATTTATTAGATTAGTCTGTTGGGCCCGCTTATATAGGCACTACGACGTTCACGGGAGGCAGGGCAGCTTGCTCCTCTCGACGCGGCGTTCGGCGCGGACAATTGTATAAATGACTGATTTAACTTGTGCAACATAGAGCATTCACACTATTTACTATGAAACGGAGAAAATTTAAACTATGAAAACTTACAGAAATAGCAGCGTGCACATACAGTAAACAATGAATTCGAAAACCAGTTACTGTGGCAGCAAATTATGTTACTAAACACATGCTGTGAGGCTTGTCCCCCTCTAGCGTAGGGACTATCGACTTGCTGCGCTGCTGATGTACATCTTTCGCATTTTCATTCGCATCAATATTTTCATAAAATCCTGTTTATTTTTGTTAGTCATAAGATTTGTCATGGTCGTTTTTAAGGATATCCTTAATTTGGTTGAAATATATACGCCGAGATTGAACTTTCCACACAATTCCATCTCATTAGTTCCACTAACCTCTATCTTAATTTGACCAAAGCATTGACATATTCCCTTTTCCATTCTAGCCACCGTATTATCTTGCAAACCATAATGAAGGGTATAAATATCGGATGAAACTCTATCAAGTGTCGTATCTGAAATTTTATTAGTATATTACAATTGGGTGTAAATTCTTTGAATAGGGCGACTGTCGGATCTGTTTTAATTAATAGAAGCCAAATATTGACAGATAAGGGGTGGTTAAAGTGAAGTTTAAAGCTTTTATTCTGACACAATAAAAAGAGTTGAGTTAAAAAAACCACGGTCAGTTAATGGTACCGTTACAAATTTCATGTATTCAGTACATTTTTAACCGATTTCAAAGCAGGAGGATATTCTCAATTGTATGTATGTATGTTACGATGGTGAATCGATTTTGATGATTCTTTTTTTTAGTTGTTTTTTATTACAGTAAATAGATATTTAATATGACTAGTCGATGGCTAATACCGTCTTTAGGTAGGCGTCCACAGATCCGCAGAAGAAACCGCTCTGTTTGTGGCAGTGTGTCCACTGTATCCGCAGCAATTGGATCGCCGACGCTACTACTAGCTATCGGATTGCCGACGCCACATTTCGTAGCGAGCGGACGAGTGTAACTTGTGTGTAGGAGACAATGAATTTGGAAAGTCATGATGAACAATTTGTCGTGGTGGCTTGTTTGTTGGCAGAAGAAGAAAGAAGAGAAAAAAAGGAAATACGATATCTGGATACATGACATATTTTAGAAAAGATCGCAACATGGAGAATGTCATACGCTATTTCCTGATTTGCTAAACGACGACGTAAAATTCTTCCAGTATTTTCGTATGTCTCATGCTAAATTTATTACTCTTCTTAACAAACAGCAAATGACAGCCTGCGACGCACGGAGGCGCGCGCGTCTGAAATGTTGCCCCTCCTAGCAACTGCGTCGGCATTACCCACAGGCCGGTGCGTGCGATCCGTGGGATGCGGATCATTCGACACAGTTGTATGAACTACTATACAGAGAGCACTAAAATCCGTATAATGCGATCCGTCCGATGCGTGCGCTGCGGATCTGTGGACGCCTACCTTAAGTCACCCGTGACCATGGGACTTGCAAAGGGTCCGAAATGCTGGTTTGTTTGAAAAAACAAATATAAAAATTGTTTCATTTTCTATTTGTTTATTCTTGTCAAGTAGCTTTTTTTAATAATAAACATTGGACGACCTCATTCGCCCGACCGTTGCCGCTTTGGGCGCAGGATGAGGAGGTCCCAGTAGAACGCATTTAGGAAAGGAACTTTTAAAAATTAGTTCAGAGTGTTCTAGATCGTGCCCTGAAGTCCGCTGCTCTGGTACATATAGTACAGGCAATTGGTGTGGTTTTCTGGCACATTACTATTAATCATTTGATTAAAGCGTGAAACACAGAGAACGGGTGCGGGTCGGGTGCGTGTCGGGTCGGGAGCACGGCAGGTGTAATTCCGTGTATTTACGGTTGTTGCACGGGACGGGCGTGTGTGGTGTGCTATCGTCCATATAAATACATGGAACGACACCCGCCGTGCACCCGACCCGACTCACGCCCGACCCGCACCCGCTGTCAGTATGTTTAACGCTTAAATGTCATAAAAGACAAACTATTGGTATAATAAACGCGAATCTAATGCCAATTCCAATAGGCAACTCTCTGACAAAACTTCTCCTTAACCCGTAACAGGTATCCATCGAGACAGTGGCAATCACGATGAGAATAATTACTTCAATCGTTAGGGTAACATCCAACCCTTCTCAAGAATTATTACTAGCACGTAGCTTGTTGCGACCAGTTTATTTTAAACGAAAAACGCAATCTATATTTCTTGTTCTACCTCACACTTGTACTTAGAAATCATCCTTTAAACATTTTTTTTAAATAATTATAAGGCAACATTACGTACGTTGCTCTGATTACAAAGTAAGCAGCTAGAGCACTTATGTTATGGAAATCGGAAACAACGACGTTACCACAAAGGACACAATTACTACCAAATAAGTAATACTTGGCCACATTAAATAAAGGCACGAATGAAGCTTCTTCATTGTCTTTTGATCTAGCCCGTGTTTCTCTCTCGACATCAACTTTTACAATGGACCCTAAGCTAGGCGCGCAGCGAGTATTGCCTGCAGTTAATATCGACTGCATGGAATTGTATTATACAGACTTCGCGCATGCAGTTAGTTTAGTAACAGCCTAAGAAGTTTAATTAAGGAGATCTTGTGGCTTTTACATACAACTAGTCGTTTTTCTTTTTAAAATTGGGCTCTGGTCGATATAGTGAAAGCTGTTATTTTATTATATAGTGTTATTTTACTTTATTATTATAGGGTGCACGAAAAGAGCATCCCTGCACGACTACCATTCCTTTCTGTAATACTGGCAAATCCTTTAATGACGATGGTAAGCATTATAGTGTACGCCATCGATATGATCAGAATAAGACCATACTTATCGACTTGAGCCAAGCATATATAGCTTTCTGTTTTGCTTCGGCTCCGACGACCCACACGCTACACATTTTGGCATCCATTTTTCTTCTGATTTCTTACGTATGCTTGTAACACTTTAGCCAAATATTTCAGAGTATTATGATCTACACAGATCTGTCAGAACGCAATGAGCGTAAAATGAGGTAGCCAACAGTGGCTGTGAAAATTCACGTCAGTAAAACCAGAGCAAAACAAAAAACAGTTACCTTTAGAAAAAGTGGCGCCTTGGCAGCGCTTAACCACAACATATTAGCACACAAGGACTAGTGTACTTGATTTCACTGGAGGTTAACTTCTTTCTTCACATAAAATTTAGCACAAAATTAAGTATTTGATAATACGTGGAAAATTTTAGGCAAGCCGGTAAAAATCGAGTTATATGGACGCCTCGCACCTGGTAGACAATCCTCCTATGCACAAACATACCTTTAACCAGATAATGATTATTTCTTACCTTAATTAACTTGTTCTGCAATTTGGTGACGACCATCCGCTCTCTTTGTGTCTTCCTTTTTTCTTCCTCGAGCATTCCTTCCAGCTGCTTGATGCGTTTCTCCAGCAACTCCTGGAACAATCAGACATCATTTGAAACATTTCATCATTTCTTTATTGCCATTGATGGCATACGTCACTCGAGGCACGGGCGAGGGTGTAACATACATACTGACTCAAAATATTATGCCCAGCAGTGGGACGTGTAAATGGATTGATGATAACATGACATAATCGTTAATCGTTTTGAATATACATATGTCTATGTATGTGTGTATGTAGGAAGACTTGTATTTTTTTATAATTAGAATAGGAATCTCAATTAAATTATCTCTTTATAACATGCAAGTGTGTTGGCTATTTAGCTGTAAGTTTGGAATGTGAATAAAGAAATAAATAATCTTCTTCTTCTTATAGTGCCTCTTCAATCCTTCAATCCCGTCAGCTTCCTTTATCTATCTCTATCAGGAACCAACCGGAACAGCTGTTCGACAGAGGCAATGCCAGTCCACTCCCTCATGTTCCGCAGCCACGATTTGTTTGTTCAGTAAGTCAATTCAAAGATCGCTTTAGCATATAAAAGGGCAGTGTACCGATCATTATTACTGGCTACTCGGAAAGTAAACTGCCTCAGTGGCCGAACGGTTACCATGTCGGACTGCCACGCAGAGGCCCAAGTTTGGTTCCCGGGCCGGAAGAAATATTTGTACGGCCTACATTTGTTTCTCTCGTGAGTTTGGGCGTAATTTGTGGTTGTCTATGTGTGTGCCCGTGGCACCCGCGACACAGGGTTTCCATAGTGCGAGGCTGTGTTGAGTGTGTGCGTTATTGTTATTAAAGCTGCACTCGATTTATATATATACATATGCGTTTGTTAATTTTTGGCATGTTCTTTAGAATTTCGATTTATGGCAAAGAAAGTGATTGTCAATAATTACTGGTTTCTTATCACCGCGATATTAGTTTTTTTTTTCACGATATTTCGTCTGGACATGTCAACCCGTAAGTATAGAGCGTATGTTTTTTTTTATAACGTCATCCTGAGTTATAAGTTGACAAGTCCCATGTGCCTGTAACTTCACCAGCACCCCTTACCCTTCCAAACCGGAACGCTGTAATGTTCTCAATACTGCTTGGCGGCAGAAATAGATAAGGTGGCAGTACTTTCCTGGATGAACTCTTTCACAAGCTCTACTGCTACTAAACGTTTCCGAAATATCGAAAAAACAAAACTAACTCAAACTGTGGTACGAAATCTATAATTAGTGACAATCATGTACTGAATAGCCACGAAAGCTTAAAAATCCATATGTCTGTCTAATCTATACCAGGGAAAACTATACCCTACACAATTTTTTATAATCAGGGCTATGTATGTGTCGTTTATTTGCTGTAAGTGTATCCAAAATGATTCCCAAAAAAAAAGATACGAACAAAGTAACAAAGTAAGTGTTAGTCGCATTCAAAGTCTTATTCCGATAATTACCGAGTCAAAATGCAATAAAAACAAAAGAGAGCTACAAAACTCGCCGTTGGACCGTTTACGCTCAAAAGCGGCCATTAAATTTCGCCATTTTGTTTTGTTTTCAGGGTACCGCAAGGAAGGCGATGATCTATAGTGTTAAGGTTGTAGGAAAGCACTTAAAGTGCCATCTAAGAAGAAAGTTTATAAATAATAAAAATAAAAATAAAATATTATATATTTTCCCGAATCATACCGTGGACGTGGTAAGAAACTTGTAATAGTGATTATCATTTAGTGAATAATCACGATAGTCTTATATCATATCTGTATATCACAAATTGCATTACTGAGCCTGTGTTGTATAAACTGTAAGTTATAAACAAAAACTTTGTTATTAATACAACAGAAATTCCATTGTTATTCTGAAACAAAACAATTTTGCTCTCTATACTACTTAAATTGTTTCTGCATAATACCTGATGATTCAACTGAAAGCTGCAATATTAGTATTATGGAGAACCTTAAAATTCTTATTCACTTTCGGACTTTACGAGGATTTTTTAAATTATTTTTTCCACAGAGCTCTGGGGTCGTAACTCGGGGGTATTTTCTTGATTTCCACTGAAATTAACGGGGCGACGATAATTAGGAGTTTGAAAGACCATTCAGGGCTATATAATATGACGTTTATGCCACTTCGTTACAAAGCTAGTTTTTATTATGTACTTTAGGAGTCTCCGTTTGGAAGTTAATTGTCGGTTTTATTATTTCCTAGGTTGACAGTGTAACTTAAACCATAGTATAATAAAACAAGTATGGTAACTCCATACAAACGTAACAGCGCGGCTATTATGCAGCACGCCGTGTACGAACGCACACATTCGCATAATCTCGCGGTGCACTTGCATTGCATAGCGCGGGTTGTCTCACGCGTTAATTTTTCAATTGAAGTGGTCGATCTGTGTTTGAAAAATAATATCAAATAGTTCACGTGTTTAATGTTGTGTATGTGGCAGTTTGAACAGTAATGTGTCAAATTCTGAATTGTTCAGCATTTCATTTCTATTCATATTCAAGATACCAATGTAAAGTATGAGAATGACGGCTGATAGGGGAGAGTGGAAGAAAAATACGTATTGTGCCGACCACACACCTGCGGACAGGAAGAAGAATCAAGATACCAATCCACGTTGCTGGTATATAAATATCAATACGTAAGTGCCTACGACATTTAACAACGGTTATTTGAATATAGTTCGAGAATACTGTGATGAACAACTTATTTTTTTCACATAACGTAAACAACTTGCAGGTATAACTAAAATTATAATGTGACAACCCTACGCTCCGAGCTCTTTGATACACAAAAGATATACATACATATTGTTATACAAAACACACACAGAGATTCCCGATTTTAAACTACTTTTATGAATAAACTCAGTGTTGTAACGCCTCTGAAGTTACGCTCTAAGAACATTACTTCAAATAAGTTTATAAGCATCATTGAAAACGTTTACCATGTTTTGATAGAATGTGTTCGGACCGAGGGACTCAAGAGGCAGTTAGGTAATGTGACCACCACACGACAGACATGATGTAACAGTAAATTGGCCGTTGTTTCTTCAAACGAAGCCGAGATATTGGACAAAGTATATTTAAGTAGTCTTACTCTAGGTTAGTTGTATAGATTAAGTAGCATTATAAAAAAATCCTTTCGTAACAATGCGTAAACTCCAACCCCTGAAAAGTCTAAAAATCAACAAATAACTCAACCGTTTAACTTGTCCAAAGTTAACTGTAAGGAAATGACGCTATCTGGTTCAAAGCAAACCGGATGTGACGTCGTTTATCCTGTGTCATTAGCCGGAAGTGCACCCCCTACCCTTCCTTATTTGAATTATTAGACGGGGTGTTTCCAGCGCTAGACTTTTGTCTGAAACTTTTTTTAACTGAGATTGAAAGTGAATATTAATCGAATGTTCAATTAAACGAAGAATTCTATCGGAAATAAAACGTCTACATAGTTAGAATGCTTTCAAGATTCTAATTGATTAAATTATTTCTTTTTTTATTACATTTATCGAAGTCTGCAGAAATTTTCTTCGCACCATCATATCGAATTTAATTAAAAACAACGAGATTGTTACCAGGAAAGTTCGTTAGACTAAACATTGACAAGTCTGATTTTGATTAAGGAATCTTACGGTAATTTTACAGTTTTTTTTTTCAATGATTATGAGAAACTTTGGGAGAGACTTATCATATATAAAAAGTCAATATCATTATGAAATCATATAGAGTTTTTTTCGACTATAAGCATTGAGAAGCAAATTATTTAAGAAAATGGAGCTCATTTTCTAATGCATGACGGGCTATGATATAATAACATCAAAAGGTGGTATGTACTTGCTTAGTTAGATCTCACTGATTTGGATTGGCTGGAAGAGATCTCTTAGAGTTAAGTCCTAAGTATTTATTTAAGTAAGTATTTATTTGGTGCAACAATAATAGTTTATGTGACTGTAAAGGCATTAAAATACGAGTGTGGGGTATGTTAGCTAGAGTCGGCCCCGACTATCATAACGTTCGATATCAATTAACCGACTTCAAAAAAAGGAGGAGGTTCTCAATTCCACTGTATGTGTTTTTTGTATGTATGTTACGCGATAACTCCGGTATTTGTGAACCAATTTTCATGATTCTTTTTTTGTTGGAAAGAGGGTACCTCCATAGTGGTTCCTTTTCATTTTGAAGAAAATCATCCACCTCTAAGGGTGGCTGATTACACATGAACATTCATTTTTATAAATAGCGCCTAAATTTTACTTAAGGAGCAATTATTTTAACGGTTGGTTTTGCTATTTCTCCAATTCAAGGCGTTTTTCTCTCGCAATATATTATACTTTGAGTAGTAAGAACCCATTTTTATTATTTTTATGTCAAGTCCTGTAATAGTGGCGAACTAGGGGATATTTCAATAAAACTTGGCAAATAGATGTAATTTCACGTACTTTTGAAGTCGGTTTTTTTTAGTACTCTGTACTGAGTTTATATGTTAAAATTGTTTGATATTGACATTACATATCGAATAAAACTTCATCTCGACTGATATTAAAATTGAGGTCGAATGAAATAATTTTGTTTTTCAGAGATGTTCGATATTTGAATATAATAATAAAATCGAAATTGATGTTATTATTAAACAATAATAACATTTTCACAGATACGAAATTTGTTCTAACAAAACAGTTTATATATCTTTATGCTGGTCGTAATTTGCGTTTTTTAACACATCATAGAGGGTTTATGATATGCGTGTAAATAATGAATATTATATACAATCACACTAATTACCTGGTCACAAACTAGGAATTTTCCAGTACTATAATTACCACATCCACATTATTAACTCCGGGATCTCTACCCGAATTACCAGACTGGAACCAATTAAGTACATTTTGGTGCTTAAATTGGACCTATCGGAAACAGATTCCTATTTGTGTCTGTGATCGAAGGCCATACACAAGATTCAGAAGTGGCTTTTTCGTAACAGCCTGTATATAGGAATGAAACTATTTTTCCGGATTTAAATCGCGTATATTTGT